AAGGCGGGGAAAGGGCCGCGGGGCTCACCCAGGCGAAGGCGACGCAGGTGGGGTAGGTGGGCGCGGCGGGGGGCACGGCCGCCCGGTAGCGCAGCAGCATCACCAGGCTGGCCAGCCCGTTGAGGAAGGAGGCCAAGGCGGAGGCGGGCTCCTGGAAAAACAGGAACCGGGAGAAGGGCCACTGCGAGGGGACGCGGGGAGGGGTCAGCGGGACCCCCGGCCCGCCCCCCGGCCCGGCCGGGAGGGGCGGCTCACCTTGCCGTGGAACTGGGGCACGCGGTGCCCGCCCTGCTGGTACAGCCGCACCGTCAGCCACATGCACTCGTACTGGCACTCGTCCCGGCACGTCCAGCCTGCGGGGCACACCAGCGCCTCCCAGTATGGCCCAGTGCCTCCCAGTATGGCCCAGTGCTTCCCAGTGTGGCCCAGTATGCCCCAGCGTGACCCTGACCCAGCTCAGGGCAGAAGGAGTGGGTGGGGTTCACCCCCGTGGCACCGGGGACACCCCCAGCCTCACTGAGCAATCTGGAGGGACCAGCAGTGTGGACCAGTAGCTCCCAGTATGGCCCAGTGACTTCCCAGTATGGCCCAGTGTCCCTCCAGATAGTTAAGGGGTGCACCAGGCTGGCCCAACATCTGTCCTGGTAAAGTCCAGTGATCCCCCATTATGGCATAGTGACTTCCCAGTAGGGCCCAGTGCCTCCCAGTATGCCCCAGTATGGCCCAGTTATCCCCCAGTATGGCCCAGTGACTTCCCAGTATGACCCAGTGATTCCCCAGTATGTCCCAGTGACTTCCCAGTATGGCCCAGTGTCCCCACAGTATGACTCAGTGACTTCCCAGTATGGTCCCGTGACCCCCTAGTATGGCCCAATGACTCCCCAGTATGGCCCAGTGACTTCCCAGTGTGGCCCAGTGACCCCACTTCATAGTCCAGCACCTCCCAGTATAGACCCAAACCAGCCCAGTAACCACCAGCATGACCCAATGACAACCAGTATAGGCCAAGTGACCCCCAGGGCTCCCCGGTCAGCCCCAGTGCGGCCCTGAGGCCAGCCCAGGGCTCCCCAGTACTTCCCAGTTTAGCCCCAGTCCCTCCCAGTCCCCGCAGCCGGGGGGCGTGGCTTCACAAGGGGGCGTGGCCTCCGCCCTGTCAGCCAATGGGCGCGAGGGGGCGGTACCTGTCAGGCCCATGTAGAGCGGCTGCCGGGCGCGGAAGTTCCGCAGTGCCGCTCCGGAGCAGTTCTGCCGCTCGCAGCGGCTCAGGCACTCCCGGTACAGCGGTTCCCGGTCCCCCTGCGAACCATGCGCCGGGTCCGGCGCTGCCGCCGCCATCAGCAGCAGCAGCAGCAGCAGCGCGGGCCGCGCCGCCATCGCCGCCCGGCCCG